TGTAGAGTGGCCCAATTAATTACATAAAGTTACTGAACATGTTCAGCAACTTATAGAAGATCAGAATGCGCCTTGGTCAATAGGGGCTTTTAGTAGTGACGGCAATGAGGCAGGCAACAAACTTTTTAGACATTTTAGAAAAAATCTCTCCCGACATGCGCGGATCTAGAGGGGGTTAAAAAATGTACAGAATTTAGAATTTATTTATTCAACCAATTTGGGCCCACAGTGGAGCATACAGAACAGTGTCCAAAATCATCACAGTTATACATATACAAAACAGAACAAAACAAACATTGTATAATGAACAGAGAGTTAGCTATCCTCTTTTAGGATGTATAGAATATACATTATACATACATATATATATATATATATATATATATATATATATATATATATATATATATATATATATATATATAAAATATCTGCAATATGCCTATATTGAACTATGTTGTTTTCTCTTATCAAAATTTGCATTTATAAGTTGGCATAATAAAACAACAAACTCAGAATCTTCATTTGACATAATCCATGTAAACAGGTCAACATTGTTAAGCAGTATCAAATTAGGAAAGGTTTTAAAGATTTTATCTAAAAACTCTCTTCTTGAGTCATTATAAAGTGGACATTCTAGCGAAAAATGCAATTCATCCTCAGTTGGACTTGAGGTGCAGTAACGACAGATTCTCTCACACCTAAGAAGAATTTCATTTTTACCACATTTATTAAGTTTCCTTTCATATCTACCCGTTTCTACCCTTAAACAATGATTGCTAATTCTGAATTTTGTGAGAACTACTCGATTGTCTCGGTTTTTCACATTCAAGTATTTTTCAAAATAAAAAGACCTGTATTTAATTTACCAAAGCCTTCCAACTAATTGGTACGAATATCGTTCCAAGTGTTTAAAAAACTATTATGTAGTTGTCTTTTCATGTACAATTTAAATTTGTTTTCACTTAGTTTTTTACAAAGGGACAAATTAATAATAAGTTTTTCACTGTAGAATAATATACTGGAGTACCAATCACTGTTGATGATGTTTGATTTGCACTCATTGAGAGCTGCTTTCAGTAGGTTAGATGATGTATGTTCTAGTCTATACCAGTGCATGAATATTTGCTTTAACATGTCTATATATAATGGGTACCTCCGTAGTTCAGAATAGATTCCTACATTTGTACAAGATTTAGATACACCCATAATGTATTTACAGAATTTCATATTGAGTTTTTCAACTTCCCAATCTTTAAATATATCAAAAAGAGGGATATTTTTCCTTTTTGGGGTAACATTAATAATGCTCCTGTTCTCACAGCCGTATAAAGCTATAGGTTTAATACAGTGATCAAATATATATAAAAGTTTTTAAGGAGGGGTTAGCATTTTTTACATCCCTATAGAATTTCAAGCATGCCTTTAAACGTTTCTGATACAGTTGTTTTTTGGCTTCAGTAAACTTTCCATTGTTTTCATGAGTTATCCCTAAATATTTATATTGTTTTACACATTCTGTAATGTCATTACCAAGTTGGAATGCTTCCTTCAGTAATTTATCAGAGTTATTAAAAATTATTACCTTTGTTTTTTTATGTTTTTTTTTAATGTTTATGATTTTCGACTTTGGGCAATTTTCCTTTTTTTTTTTTTTTGCTTGTCAACTTTTTCAGGTAAGTAAAAAAAAAATTCAGTGGCTGCCCCCCCCCCCCCCTTTCAAAATCGATGCTACGGTCCTGGCAAGTACACCAGAAACTGCACCGTCTGAACACAGAAAAACTCCCAGAACGGCCAGACCTTGCGGACACCTTCAATTTATTCACGACCTACCTTGATTCAAAACTAGAAAGTTTGAAGGAGGAAATTTCAGTTTCTGTTAAAGATATCGATACCATTACTAAATCTACTAAGCGAGAAGTCGCGGTAAAATTCAAACACAAAGGCAACAAAATGCAGTTTAATTTTAACTCTTAATTTACTGTGTTATTTGTCGAAGCTGCAGAAGCGTATTTCAGACTGTACAGTTCTGGAATTAGCAACAGGGCTAATTAATAAGCTCAACCACAGAGACAAGTTGATTAGAATAGCAGACAAGTCCTCTGGTGGTTGGACGACAGTCAGAGAATATGAGAGCGACGAACTTGCATCAGAATTTGAGAATGAAAAAACGCATGCGCCAGGCGGAGAACCGCGCCCTACGGACCATCAAGAAGAAGCCGTGTTCAACCCTACCAAAAGCCAACTGCGACCATATCTAGCTCTAATAGTAAGATGTTTCCTGCTCCATCTCACTCCTTTCATAATTTCAAATTTAAACAATGCAATGAGCCCTCTGCCCTTGACACATGCTTTAACTCTCGTCAGTGTGGTCACTGGAAATCAGCCTGTCCAGCTCCGCTTAGACAGAATGGCTCAAACGATAACGCAAGCGCACATCAAACGGAAAGTAGTAAAACTGCTCATGAGCAGTATGTATCTTTTTCTTCTTATTCACTCTTGTACGATCAGATATTTACTTTTTAATCAGATTGCCTATTTTGATAAAACACCTATCATTATAGGTAAAGGAGTTAAGGGCAATCTGCGCAAACATATTCAGTTTTGGGAATCTAGTGGTGCTCATAAATGGGTCTTAAATATTATAAGGGAAGGATATGTTGTTCCTTTTGAAAGTGTTCCACCTACTATGTATTTCAAAAATAATAAATCTACTAGAGATAATGCTGGATTTGTACGTTCAGAGCCTTTGGAGATCGGATGCATTCAGGAAGTCCCATTTCAGCCTCACGTAGTCAGTCCGTTGAGCATCGCTGTCAATAAAGGCTCTGGTAAAAAGAGGTTGATTTTAGATCTAAGTCAATTAAATCATTACGTTCAGAAAAGAAAGATAAAGTTTGAAGATTGGAACAATGCTATAGATTTTTTCAGAAAAGACTTTTTTAAAATACAAATTTGATCTTAAATCAGGGTGTCACCACATCTCTTTGTAAACAACTGACATATTTTTCCTTTTCTTGGGATAACAAATTTTATTGCTTCAACGTTTTGCCCTTCGGCCTGATTTCGGCTCCTTATGTTTTTACAAAATGCCTGAGACCTCTTAAGTACAGGAGAAGCAGCGGAATAGACATAATTTTATATCTAGATGATGGCTTTGGTCCAGATTTTCAGAAATGTTTGCAGAATTCTAATTTTGTCAGAGTTAATTATTGATAAATTAATGTTGAAAAAATCTCTTTTTTTCAGCCCGTGCAGTATTAAGAGTGGCTTGGGTTAACTTGGGAATCCACATCCTTTTCTTTAAGCATTCCATCAAGAAGAATTAAAGATACTATTGATTCTATATAATATCTTATTGATAGATTTTCTAAATTTACTGTAAGTGAATTAGCAAGAGCGGCAGCCAAGACCGTTTGTATATAGGTCCCTGTTTCAACGGACGAGAACACTCGAATTTAAGTAACTATCTGGTGGAAATGATGAAAGTGGAAAGTATACTTTTATGAAATATATCAATTATGAACCGCAAGAATTTATACAGCGACAATGATTATCTTGATCATGATCAAGATCATTTTCATGTATCCGAGTAGTATAAGGGGTCTAGATAGATACTCATTCTGATTGGCTGAGAGAAATCACGTGATCAATTCTGATTGGTGGAGGGGAAAGGGGGGTCAACTGAGTGGAGTGCTAACCCTAACCCCCTATCCCTAACTAGCCCTAACTAACCCTAACCCCCTAACCCTAACCCTAACTAACCCTAACCCCTAACCCTAACTAACCCTATCCCCTAGCCCCCTAACCCTAACCCTAACCCTAACCCTAACTAACCCTAACCCCCTAACTAACCCTAACCTATTCCCTTAAATACTGGAGTTCCTAACCCTTTACACAGTGTTTTTACATTGGTACGTAGGTACTACGTTTTTTTTATGCTGACTACACAGGTAAATACTTGGCAGCGATTCAAGTCAGGGGACCGTGTGTAAAAAATATGCTGACTATACAGGTAAATACTTGGCAGCGATTCAAGTCAGGGGACCGTGTGCAAAAAATATGCTGACTACACAGGTAAATACTTGGCAGCGATTCAAGTCAGGGGCCCGTGTGCAAAAAATATGCTGACTACACAGGTAAATACTTGGCAGCGAGCCAAGTTTGTTTAGAGCCGTGTGCAAAAAAAAAATATGCTGACTACACAGGTAAATACTTGGCACCGATTCAAGTTTGTTTAGGACCGTGTGCAAAAAATATGCTGACTACACAGGTAAATACTTGGCAGCGATTCAAGTTTGTTTAGGGCCGTGTGCAAAAAAAAAATATGCTTACCTATGCATTGTGACGTCATCCATGTCAGCGAGCTACCCTATACATTATGACGTCATACACTTGTAAAATTAAAGTTTCATTTTCACTTTTGTTTCTAAGAAGTCAACTTAGATTTTCAAAAAATGTAAGACTATCTTTTTTTTTCCTCTCTTTTACTTTGATGATTTTCCTACTGTGAAGCTTTCCATGTATAAAGCTCAATTTTTCCATGACCACGGAAGTAAACATCCTGATGCATTCTTGTCATGTGAATGTTGAGAGCGTGTTCATTTTTGAAATCTCCTTTCTGACAGACCTATTCCACAGGTAAGTTTGTCTTATTTTTGTTTACATTTCCTATATGAAGGTCATCTTTGTATTTAACCATGATTATGTAAAGTTCTGTTTTGAATGTAAATACTATATTTATCCTCATTTCATGTGATTTACAGTTGTTTAGCCTGCATGTAACTCAGAGTGCATTTAATAATTCTTTGATGGGTCATTCTATGATTGAATTTCAATCAGAAAAATATTCTCTAAATTTTGGTAAAATACATGGTATCTTTTTACATTTCTATCCCTTTTGTCTGTAAATTATTGCTTTACTTACATTGTAAAATGAGGTTAATTGTGTATCACTGAATTGTATGATTTTTTTTCAGGATCAGCTGAGTTGTAATCAATCACTGGATTATTTAATGCATAGGCTAATTGGGCATATAGTTGAATATCTCTGGTAAGTTTGTCTTGTTTTTTTAATTGTTTATACATTCCCTATGAAGGTCATCTTTGCATTTAAGCATGATTATATGGTTAATTTTATTACTGTGTAATACTTATGTGATTTGATATCTCTATAACTTACATTCATATAAACACACCCTTATTTAACCTAAAATATATCAAGGGATCTTCAGAATATTAATAAGTCCTATTGTATAAATTATATGATATAATTTCATAATTCATTATGTATGTTACCCATAGCCATGGAATTCAGACCTACTAAATGGTGATCAAAGAGATATCAATTAGGAATCTAATAAGAGAAAAGGAAGAATTTACAAAAGATTAAAGTCATTTACTTTTTGTTTTGATTCTAAATATGTGCTATATATGGCATACATATATTTTCATTTTCACTTTTGTTTCTTAAGCTTTTCAAAAAAAAAATGAAGGACTACATGTTGTACTGTGATGATGTAAAAAAAAAATAAAAATTTTTTTTTCTGTATGCATTACTGATAGCTATTAAACCAAAATTGAATCTGCTGTTAATAAAAGGTCTTTTAGTGTCTAAATAATTAATTTGATAATCATTTTATTTTGTGATATTAATACATTAGTTGTGCTTGTTTATTATCTATAAATAACATGATGAACTTTTCTCATCCGGAGTTAATGTTAAAAACAATTTTTGATATTAAAAACAAATATTTTCATGATCTTTTTTGACATTGTACATGTTGTATTTAAACATGCATTGTTTCATACAGTACTCTGTCATATTTAAAAAAAATGCTTTTATTTCTACAGTCATCAACATGGAATGTATGACTTCATCTTTTATACAGTCGGGTTCGGGGTTTCGGGCGGCCATGACGAATTTCGGCAAGATTTTACCCCAGTGAAAAAGGCTTGTAATCCACAGTGTAGGTCTTTTAAAGTTGTTTCACATTGTTTATGATTGTGATTATGTTATCACTCACCTATATGTTTAATGTTAGCTATGCTAAATAACCCATTTCTGTGTAATTTGAGAGAATGTTTTTGTCATGTGCTTAAAGTATGGCCTGCTATTCATGTCATCATTTAAAGTCGCTTCTCAAATAAATCTGTCTTAAAAAATACATTTTACAAAAGACATTTAATATGATTAGAGTATAGGTATCCAAATATATAAGAGATATTATTTTGCATTACATATATAAGAGGCATTGTCTCATGTAATTTAAATCATAATAACAAAAATGGAATTTATTTTTCTATACAGTCCTCAACCTGGAAGATATGTTTTGTTCCTAACCATCTATAATCCATTCTCTATGAAGTGAAGCCTGGCTGCTCTTCCTTTGGAAATACACAGTTAGTCAATCAACATAGAAACACACAAACTTGAAGGTAAAGTTTCAATGAGATACAATTGTAACTTTTATTTATTTATTTATTTTTTTTGTTACATATGCATGTTTATATTTTTGAATTGATAAATAAATGATATATTTAAATAAAGAGGGCTTGGTGGTCATGGTCATGTTTAAACCATATTGATATCCTTCACAAGAAAAGGCATAAAAATTCATGATCAAATTTTAAAACTAAAATGTATGAAGTTTTTCTGTGCCAAATGATAGTTAACAGCTAAAGATAGCATATCTATAGAATAAGTTAAATATGGCTAATTTGTTAACCCCCAGTTTCCTTAATAGCATAGTTGGTAAAGATAGCAAGTTTTCACTTCAATTGCTGGTGAATTCTGAATTTTCCATTTAATATTAACATTATATCACAGGGAAAGAATACTATAATGTGGTTCATTAGGATGACCAGAAAAGAAATCTTAATGACCCTTATGACTATGTATAAAGTCTGTAACCTTATAACTGATGTAAGATGACCTGATTGTTTGGAATTAAAATTTCCTGGTGTTTCTATTACCCAAGATCTTCTTATGAGTGCATGGGACTGTTGTAACCCTTCTCCTGTTTATAAAAATAATACCTTGGAGCATGACACTTTATTCATTTAAGGTACTTTCAATATCATTTCTATGAGTTTGTGTTCTTTTTCTTTTTAATAATCTAGTGTTATATCTTCTTTACCCTAATTAATATGCATGCTTCCAAAATCATTATAGATCTGTCTGTATAGTTTTTTCAGCTCTTTGAACACAAATACCCTGATTCAAACTTTTGAGGTAAACATCATGGAGACATCATAAATGATTATCAGAGTGTATATATCACAATCTTGACCATAAGGTCAATTAAAATGGTCAAAAGCACAACAAATGAAAGTGAAAACTTTCTTATCAGAATACATAATTTTGTAATATTAATTCTTACCTTCTTTTGGTAATAAATGGTAATATTCTTCATTAGCCTCTTCTGCAATCAAGGATCTTTCTATGTAATCTCTGACAACATTAGGATCACCCTTTTCTGGACATAATTGGTTATATTCTTCTTGAGAAATGATCTCAATAATGCTATCTTTTTTTTATTTTAACTGGTATACCTCTGTCTACATCTTTCTCTGAAAGAACTCTCTTTTCAAACTGAATTTTACTCATTCCTTTACTCTTTTCTTTACTGGAGGTGTTACCCATGGTTAATATGAAAAGTCAAAATCTGATGTTACACCTTGTATTTATACCCTTTTTTGTCTATATTTAGAATTCCATCAAGCTTATATTACATAATAAAATTTTTTTTTTCAACTAAGACATTATTTTTATTTTCCAGGATATTCTAGTGAGGGCTTATGGAAATGATCTATGTCTACTCTCAGAATGGTGAAAGACTATCAGATTATGCAAAGACTAACAGGATATCCTCTCTTGGAACACTGAAATAAGAAAATCAAACAGGAGGTGGATGGAGGATTTCCAAGAAGCACAGGATGAAAGACTATCAGATTATGCCAATCAAACTGACTAACAAATATTGAATATTCCTCTCTATAAAACACTGAAACAAGAAAATCAAAACCTTTTATTTTTCATCTTATTTCTATAACCCCTTAGGATGGAATTATTACTTTCCTGGAAATGTAAATATATTTTATTTGTGTATATGTGTGTACATAATTAAATTTAGAAATTGAAATATGATTTCCAACCAATTCTGTGATGCAATAATATCTTGAATATTATTTATTATCATAGACTGTGCTTTACAGGAAAAGACAAAGAAATAGGACCTTTGTCAGGAAAGCATGAGTATCTTTTACTGTTTGCAGACACTGACTATGGATAAGATGTAGCCATTTATGATTTGAATCATTTAATGCAATAACTTCAACATTGTGTGATAACTAGTCAAATTCAAGTATTGAAATGTTAACAAATGATTTTCTGATAACTATGAATTTGGGTTTCTCACCAACTTCAAAGTATCTATATATTATTTTTTTTTCATTTATTATATATATTGCATTATATATATCAAATCCTATTATATATATTATTTATTATATATGTATTTATTTTTTTTTTTTTTACTAACTCATATTGAAGACAGTTGTTATGTAAGAGAAGTATACATTTAAACCTTTTATTTTTCATCTTATTTCTATAACCCCTAACAAATTACACAGATGATTTTAGAAGCTAGCTTTGCTGTAATTATTACTTTCATGGAATGTAAATACATTTTGTTTGTGTATGTGTCATGTCCTATTTTGAATTTAAAATTGGTCTCAATAAGATCCCCAATAAAGATGCAAGTGTCCCCTAATCTGTGATTTAATAATATCTTGAATATTTTTATCATCCCATATTGTACATACTTACTTCACAGAAGAATGGTTGAGTAATGCACTTTGTTTTCTAGGACACTTCATCAGGGTCAAAGCATGAGATTATTGATTCAGAGATAACTACCTTTGAAAATAATTTGTAACATACAAACTTCACATCATAAGTAAAGAAAGATTCAGAGATTTTCTATAGATTTTTGGATCATTTTTCTCCTGGGTTATATTTTCAGTTGTTGTAACTTTAACAATTTGTGATAACCTAGAGACTTTTTATCAGCTTTATTGGGTGGCATGGCATATTCTTTGGTAAATCATATGCACTATGTTCAAGGATGTTTAAAGACTATGACTATGTAATACCTTAGAATTCTATTAAAATCTTAATATCACTGCATAGATAAAAACTGGTTGGAATAATACATGTTGACAATAATTTGCAACCTACAAACTTCACATCATAAGTAAAGAAAGATTCAGAGATTTTCTATAGATTTTTAGATCATTTTTCTCCTGGATTATATTTTCAGTTGTTGTAACTTTAACAATTTGTGATAACTTAGAGACTTTATAAAAATTTATTGGTGCAAATTCTTAGGAAAAGATTGAAATGGTTAATCAAATGTACATGTTCAAGTGTGTATAAAGATTATTACTATGTAATACCTTAGAAGTCTGTTAAAATTTTATTATCACTGCATAGATAAAAACTGGTTGGAATAATTTATGTTTTGAAATAAGGTTTAGGGAAAAAAGTCAAGCATGTGGATATGACTTTAATTCAAATCGTGCAGTACAGCAACTCTGGTGATTTACATACCTTCAGTAATAAATACATGTAGATAAGTATTGGGAAGACTCCTCTAGATTTTGAAATTTTTAATTCAAATGTATAGAATTTTTTTTTAAGTTTGAAAGATTAAATGGCAGCATATCATATGCTTGTGAATTAAAAATAAATCCAAACATATACATAATTGGATGATAATTGTAGAATTTTATCAATTCCTGGACTTCTGTCTTGATATCATCCTTAATGTCTTTAAAATTTTAATGATTGTCTTTTAGTTTTAATTGAATTAGTTTCTTTCCTGCATGTGAAAATGACATCATCCAAAGATATGCATGTTCTAGAAAAAGACAATTTTCATCACAGTGAAAGAGATTGTTTTGTTAAACATATTGCATTGATGCACAAATATATTTTTAAATTTTTAATAGCTAGGGTTTATATTTCTTTATATGGAATGCTAAGTACTGTTGATTTCAATTTTTGTGAACAAAGATATACTAGTAGAAAAAATGTACATGATGTGTCAGAAAAGCATGTGTAAACCTGATGACTTTATAATTGCTGATTAAATCAATTATGAGTTTCATCTTTGTTACATTGTAAACATTTCTAAGTAGTGCACACATCAGAAACTCTTAAAATTATTATATCAGGGTTTAACACAACAATTCCAAATGATTTTTGGACGCTTTTTATGTATCAAAAAAAAAAAACAAAATAGAATATCTGTTCGCAGATGTTTCAAAAGGAAAACAAACACAAAGAAATGATTTGTAATGTTTTTTATGTGATTCATGTAAAATGTATTTTAAAAGTGTACCCTAACATTTATCTTTTGCATAAATATTTTTGTAAAGAATTTCTCATAACTTTGAAAAAGTAGTCTTATTGTTTAATATGATTAACTTAGAATTTTGTAAACTTAAAAGTTGTACATAATGTGTTACACATCTTACATATGTAACCATTTCATTTCCAGGGTTTTCAGCATATATTGTGGTTTTGTCTTAAATTTGTTTGCTTATGTAATCAATAATTTGCTAATACTCAAATTAGGAAATATATGAGAGAATAAACAAGAAAATCAGGTTTAAAAAATGTTTTTACTACAAAGGGGTTAATCCATAAGTAAATTCAGTCTATACATTTAAGGTATTTCTGTATGAAATAAACTTACATATGAGCATTTTAAGACAACATTACTTTAACCAGTTTTAAAAAAAAATGATTAGATTCACTGTCAGCATGTTATTTCTTGTAAAATAAATGAGAAAACAATTTTATTTGAGTCAGTTTTTTTTTAATGTAAATAAAAAGCATTGGAAATTGGGAATATTTCACAAAGTTAATTAATTTATAAAAATTTTTTAATTTAGAATTGGGCACAAAATTTTATTCACTTAATTGCATAATTCTCAAGGATAGTTGAAATCATTTCATTAATTTCAATATACAAATCATGTTTAGTCATGCAGTATATAGTTTACACTTGCCGAAAAGTAAATGGTTATCTCAATTCAAGATCAATCCAAAGGTCAAAAAAAAGGAATGAAAAAATATATCTTTTTTATGTATCAAACATGTAGGTATTGCAATAAATTCACTGTATTCATTTTTTGTCCTCTTTCTATGTATGAATAGCTCTAATTTAGGCAATCAAAGCAAATGAAATAAATTATGTGAAATGATGAAGGTATACACCAGAAATTAACATGGACAGATAATTTTGAGTTTCCCTCAAATATGCTTGCCAAGGGATACAATTTTTAAAAAATATGTGGATTCATCTATTAGGATTGCGACTTGTACATATTATGAATGATGGTTACTATGACATTAAGAATGACATGAAAGAAATAAGTTTGATTCAATTATATAATTAGTTTTTAATCCATACAGTCAAAATGGAGGAAAAAAAAATTCTTTATTAGGCATGAAGTAACATAGAATCACCCAATCCATCAAAATTTTACCGTTTTGAAGAAAAGGAACCCTACTTGCTTTTTTAAGTTGCCATTCATATTTTTGTGTTTGACAGGTAGAGCAATGGTTTCTAACTATTATAGTGAGAACTTTTTTTTAGAGTCATCAGATTGTTCTGATATTTTGGTTAAGATATCAACATGACATCAATTAATTTGTTCATACAAAAGGACTAAAAGATTTTCCAGGTTTCCTCTTTACTCAGATTAGATTGTGTTTTACTAATTTATTCAACATATAAGATAATCATCAAAGTCAAACAAAGGTAAATAAATGACTTTATTAAGTTTTTAGTCAAAAGGTCAAAGAGATGTGGACATCTGCTAAATTTAATTGTTTAGTTAATATTCATCAAACTTCATGGATAGGTTAATTAAACAAACTTCATATATTTTAATTGATTTTCAGGTCAAAGATCAACACACTTTTTGCGATACCATTGTTGTCCATGAATATCTAAACACTTCTATTGATTTTTCAGATTAAAAGTCAATGTGTTCCTGCTACAGTAAAACTTCATTATAAATATCTCATAGTGATATTTTTTTATTTGTAAGGAATTAGATATAAAATCTCCCACTCTTTCTATAATATGTCACGGAATGTGCTCCTTCATTTTAGAGAGTTTTACAAGCAAATCATATACTGACTTTCAATCCTTCAAAACACAATATGTATATTAAATCTTGAGATTCAGATTTCAGCCTTTTAGGCTTTCAGACTATCAATCAAAAACTTTCAATCTTTAAAAACTTTCAATCTTGAGGACTGAGTATTTTCATATTTATTTTGTAAGTCTTGTCTTTTATGTCATTACAATTATCCTTAGTAATTTAAACTTTTTTCATATTTGTAAAAACCAGAGTGTGAAAGTATAGTGTTTGTGTAATCTTCTAAATGTTTATCCATAAATACTGCTTTTAATACAGTCAAATATAATTTGTGATGATCAAAATTTCCAAATTGCCTGACCTATACATATTTAGAATTTCAATATCATACACCCTTGAATATTTATAAATATCAATATTTTGATTAAGCATTAGCTATCATCCATACACTTGTTAACCTAAGGAAGGCTCTTATCATAAGTTAAACTATAAATTCCTCATGCAATTTTGAAGAATCTCTGTTATAAGGGATGGTGAAGACCCATAAATTTCCAAGAAATAATATTCAAAAATATATATCCACATTAAATTAAGAACATTTGAAGAACCCCTTTTCTTTATAACTCATGACATTTCATGTAGATAGTGGCTATAATGTGTAAATAATCTTTATGAAAAAAGTATGGTGTAAAGTTAGCCTCACCCAACACCCAAGGGAGGGGGGTTGAATAAAA